CTCCTCCTTCTGCTCCTCCTTCTCCTCCTCTCTCTGCTCCTCCTTCTCCTCCTCTCTCTGCTCCTCCTTCTCCTCCTCTCTCTGCTCCTCCTTCTCCTCCTCTCTCTGCTCCTCCTTCTCCTCCTCTCTCTGCTCCTCCTTCTGCTCCTCTTTCTGCTCCTCTTTCTGCTCCTCCTTTGCTCCAAACTGTGTTCTTATTTTCTCCATAGCTTGTGGAACAGCTTTGGTAGAGAAAGGACTCCATTAAGATAGTTGGACAGTGTGTGATTTACAGCATTTTTTTAGCAACACCCAAAGAAAGATGGCTTCTGTCCACTCTCATATTCTGCCATACATGTGGACATTTCTAAGAGAACGCATCAGATTTCCTCTTATTTCTGACAAACGCATAAAAGATGACACACATCACTGATAAATACAGAAACTTCTGGCTTCTGTCCACTTTTGTTTAACATTTTACATCCGAACTGTTGTCAAAACGCTTTAAATATTGAGCTGATGTCTCACTTTAGGAAATTAAAACATGCAGCTCCAGCGATTCAATTAACACTTTTCAATAATGTTTTGAAATATTTTTCAGGATATGAATAGGAATGCATTCAGTCATAGATAAATCAAAATAACATTTTTTTCTTTAAATGAGCTTGTTGGTTAATGATTGTTGGTTTCTGCTGTTATCTAATTTCAGTTTGTGTTGTTTTTTAACTGAGCCTGCAGTTCAGAGACAAAAGTGCACAACAAACCTTTAATAATAAATGGTTTTATTCTCAGGACAGATGTGGTGTACAGATGTTTTCAGAGAGAGCCCACTGACATGTTTGTGTTTGGCTAGCTGAGCAGAGCATTTTAACTGCTGTTTTTCTGTGAATTCTTCACTTTGTTTAGCAACACAAAAGGATTCACTTCCCATTTCTGTTTCATTTCAACACACAAGCACATTCACAAGAAACTCACTCAAAAACTGATCATTTAATTCCATTTCATGCCACTGACAGAAAAACCTGCTGTCCACTTTTCAAAGCGCATCCCAGACAAAACTCTGCTGTTTTCACACTGTTTGAACAGACATTTTCAGCTCTGAAAATCACATTTAGATTGTGTAAGTTGCTCTGAACAGAAGGGGAGGACTAAACTGTGCTTAAGGTGTCGTTTTAGTGTCATTTTAGACTAATGATAGCAAAAACAAAGGACCTAAGTCAGAAAAAGGGCTAAACAGCTCATAAGACAAACAGGCCATAAATGTTAGCTTGATTATCTAAAACTTGCAAAACTCCATTTGATTCTTTTACATTTAGGGCTAATTTTCAACATGATAGTCTACTGGAATTTATGAATATGTACTTCTTTTAGGTAATAGATTATTTCTAAAGTTAGTTATTATTTAGGATTATCTTTAGCTATGCTAATATGACAGCTAGGTAGTATCTCTAACATGCTAATGTGCTAATGTCTTAGCCTCTTTAACATGCTAACATGTTAGCTTCTTTAAAATGCTAACATGTTAGCTTCTTCAACATGCTAATGTTTAGCTTCTTTAACACGCTAACATGTTAGCTTGTTTAACATGCTAGCCATGCCCTTATTTAAAAGTTTTACCATTTAACTATCTGGCTAATTCTGAAAATAATGAAGACCTCAAAGTCTGCTAAAGAGATAAAGACATCAGTGGATATGGTGGAAATTTGAGTAACTTGGTGCTAAATTAACTTTAGCTCGAGAAGCCATTTAAATACTTATTTTTGCCAATTTTAAAGTTACTTTGGCTATTTGGTTAAAAGTCAGAAGGCTTTTTTTTTTTTTTTAACTGTTGTCTCCTGTTGGTTATTTAACTCCATAAGTGTTTATTTGAATTTAACACAAAGCCTTTTGGAGTAATTTAACAGCCTGACTGGATTCTATTTTTGATTTATTTCTCTAAATGATTATTACATCAGAGAACAAACAAAAAGTTACTTTGATTATCTGATACATTAAGAGATTTTATTTCTCTGGCATTAAGATTAGATTTAATTCTCAATCTGGCGGAAAACTGAAGGTTTTGTAGTTTTCAGTGAAACTCAAAGGACTCCAAAACCAAAGAGACAAGTTATTAATCTATATCCACTAAAACAGAAGATGGAGGTCAAAACCCAAAGTTTTTGGAAGATTTTACTATCCAATCATGTGTTTTAACCTCTTTAATCATTTGATAGTCAAAAATTGTCTTTGAACATGTTGAAATATATTTGGGGCCTTTTGCTTTCCAGCCTGTTTCTCAGTGGAATTTCCTGATTTTAGCTGATGATAACTTCACTTTAGTCTGATAATCCCAAAGGTTTAAACAAGAAACCACAAATTTGATTGATAGAAACAGAGGAGTGGAAACTGACACATTACTTTGCATAAAGTGGGTGTGTTGTCAGGACGGAGCTGAAGTCAGAAGCCCTAGAAAAGCCTTTTTAACCAGCGTTTGGACTAGTTTACGGTTACTCTGCTCTACACCGCTACAGCAAACAGGAAGAGCCTCCTCCCGCCGCTCTGAGGGCGTCAGTCTGTGCGCTTTGGGGTCCTCCATCGCCTCCATCGCCTCCATCGCCTCCATCGCCTCCTCACTCGTCCTCCTGCTCGAAGAACTCGTGGCAGCAGATGGTAACCATGGAGACGAACGTCATGAACTCCTGGAAGTTGCACTCGGAGTCGCCGTCGGCGTCCAGGCTCTCCATCAGGCTGTCCAGCGTGGACTGGTCCTTGACGTGCTGCAGTGGGGGGTCAGGGGTCAGGGGCCGGGGCTCAGGGGTCAGTGGGGGGTCAGGGGTCAGGGGTCAGGGGTCAGAGGGCGCCATGCTCACCGCCATCAGGTCGGGCAGCTCGTCGTGCAGCAGCTCCTTCAGCTCGCTCTTCTTCAGCTTGTGCTTGTCTCCCTCCCTCTCCGAGTATTTCTGGAACACGGAGATGATGGCGGCCATCGAGCCCTCCAGGTCCGTCAAGCTCATCTCTGCTGGCCCCCGGCGGAGAGAGAGAGAAAACCAGCAAAGTTTAGAATAAAATATCCAAGGATGAAAAAAGAGGTCAATCTGATCAAATCAACACAAACAAACTTCACCGGATGACCATAAATATTCTGACTTCCTCCCTTTAAAGTAGCTAAATTTAACTGATTTCCACTTTTTAAAAACATTTAAATATTTGATTCAACCAATTGCCTCCCTGTTAAATTATATGAAACCTTTTATTAACATGTTTAAAACTGTATAAAACCTTAAATAAACTATGTTGTTGCATTAAATATCATATATTTTCTGCCTTTAAAACTTTTAAAAGTCTAAAATTTACTTTTTTTTAAATTCAAAACTGTATCATTAAACAGATATTCTGCTTTTAAGACCATATAAATCCTTAATTACCTAGTTTTTCTTCCTTTAAAAAAGTTTAAGATTTAATTTATCTGATTTTCTTCCTGTAAAATTGTCTAAATCCTGAAATGAAAATCTATCTACAGTGGCAAAAAGAGTTTTCCCAGCTCTCTGGTGTCTGTTTATCCCCTCAGAGGTCAGTAAAACTCTATTTCTGTGAGCGGAGCCCCAGTTTGGTGGTTTTCCTCCCTCTAACCGGCAGATTGAGACTCACCGGGCGCCGCTGAAGCCGTGGATCCAGAGATGGAGGATGGCGCTGGTCCTCAGGCTTTATACTCCGGGACCTGCTGACCCCAGATCAGCCCCGCCGGCCCTCCCAGAGCCGACCAATCAGGGCGTCCGCCTCCCTCACTCCACCACAGCCTGCCCCCCCCCCCCCAGCCCACCACCCCCCCCCAGAGGGCTGCTTTGTGCGGCCTGAGCAGCTTTTCCAGCATCTTTAACTCTGACTCAGACATTTAGAGGCAGAACTCTGAGTGGAGGTGGATTTAACCCATCCAAACGAGTTCCTCTTCTTAGTGTGAACTAAAAAAACAGAAGAAATCTGATTTAATGTTGGGACATTGAAGCACGACAGCTTGACTCATCGTTCATTTATAGTGATGAAATGTGTCTGTTTTCATGAGGATGAACACGTTTTATGAGTTCAGAGTCCGGCTGGTGGAGAACAGGCACTATGTTCATATCTGAGGAGAGTTGGTCTGAATCTGAATCTGATTCAGAAACTAAGAGGCTCCCAGAGGAATTAAACAATTATGGTAAAGAGGCCACAATGAGTTTGATTTAAGGCAAAAACATCTTTATCTGCAGAACCTTTTATTAGATATAAAAAAGAGATACATTTATTAACAACTAATGATTATAAATAGTAAATAAATAGCTCAGACTGAGCCATTTGTCTGAGCAGGCTGCAGTTCGGCCTCCACCCAGCAGGGGGCGCTGCACAGGGCAGTCAGAGCCTGTTCCAGAGCCTCAATGCACAGCTCAGGTAGGCAGACGTGTTTTTCTGCCTCCGGCTCAGCGTCAGGATGTAAAGCTGGATGTTAGTCTGCTTCATGGCTGCGTTTAGCGAAAGAAAACGAGCCACAAATATGAGAAAAATAAAGATTACAGGTGTTTCAGGATGTTTAAGAGGCGAGAAGACCAATTTCAGCCTCTAATCTGCTCGGTTTTGCAGCTTTCAAACCCAAACTGAGAGTAGTTTCTGCAGCTGAAAGGGCTCTGGCTGCCACAAAGGCCTGTGTGGGAGGAAGCACGCAGCCCTGAATGTTAATGAGACGCTTTCTCTGACCAGAGGGGAGAGGAGCCAGGAGGAGCCAGGAGGAGCCAGGAGGAGCCAGGAGGAGCCAGGAAGAGCCAGGAGGAGGCCTCTGGGTGGTGGCCTAAAGGAGGTGGGTTAAAGGAGGCCTAACGGAGGCCTACAGGAGGCCCAAAGGAGGCCTAACGGAGGCCCAAAGGAGGCCTAAAGGAGGCCCAAAGGAGGCCCAAAGGAGGCCTAAAGGAGGCTTAAAGGGGGCCTGAAGGAGGCCAAAAGGAGGCCTACAGTAGGCCTAAAGGAGGCCTAAAGGAGGCCTAAAGGAGGCGAACCTCTGGGAGGCCTGAAGGAGGCCGAAAGGAGGCCTACCGGAGGCCTACAGAAGGCCCAAAGGAGGCCTAAAGGAGGCCTAAAGGAGGCCCAAAGGAAGACTAAAGGAGGACTAAAGTAGGCCTAAAAACGGTCCAAAGGAGGCCTAAAGGAGGCCTGGAGGAGGCCTAAAGGAGGCCCAAAGCGCTGACTCATCACATGACTCTCCTCCTCCTCACATGACTCTCCTCCTCCTCAGAAACCGTTCCTCCCTCCACAGACCGTCTTTGTTTTCCCGTGAACAAAGCGGCCGGTCAGACGGATCTCTGCTCCGGTCAGTGAAACCCGCCGGACTTCACAGACAAAGAGGGACAGAAGTCCCATTTCTGTCTGTCAGCTGAGTCACTTTGGCCTTTTTCCTCCATCAGCCACAGAAACGGACAAATGATGACAGGCTGCTGCTCACAAAGAGCCTAAAGACCCGCTTTAAGCTGCAGACACTGGCTCATCCCTTGAGTTAGGGGCCTTTTAAAGTGGCCCAACACAGAAAATTTAACTGAAAAAGAGAGAAAAAGCTAAAGAAAACTTTCAAAAAGGCAGAAGAACCCTCAGTCTGGTTGCTTTGAAGCAAAATGTGCATAAATCAGGTGATTTTTGAATACAGAAAGAAGGTTGATCCTTTTTTCTCATCATAGTTTCTTCTGCTTTTTATTCTGAATAAATGTTATTTTGGTTATACAAAAATGTCAGAAATTCCCCCACATGTTTTAATTTCTCCTCCTGGTGGCTTAAACAGGACGAATAGTCCACAAACTTCAGGTCAAAGTGCTGGAAAAAGCCAGCAGAGTCTCTTAGTTCTGTTCCTAGTGGAGTTTAAATGTCTTTTCTGGGTTTCAGGGCTTCAGTCGAAGCCAAAAACCCGGCAGGGTCTTCAAGGCCAGCCTCTCTTTGTTATTCAGACCCGTCTCTTTCAGCATTTTTACTCCCAGGCGACGTCCTCAAACGGCCGAGGCGTCCCCGGAGCCCGCCGTCTCCATGGAGACCGTCCACCAGCGGCCTGCCAGGTCTGGGCTCCACCTGGCACACAGCTGGGAACAGATCCCACAAATGAGGCCGACCGCTGGGTGGACTTCATCTCGAGGCTCTATTCGTTCTCCGAACGAGCATTTTTACGGTCAGATAGTCATGATCGCACCATGGCGTGACCTTTGACCTTTAGATGACCCCGCTTCTATGTCAGGAGCTTCAAACTGAGAGCAAAAGGCTGAAAAACCTTTTAAAAAGTGGTAAATTAAAGCACTTGTAATGGCACAAACTCGCCACTAGGAGGCAACGAGCCGCACTGGAAATGAGTTCGAGCTTTAAAGTTTAATAGTCTTTATAAAAAAAATATCTAAATTAATTTTAGGCAATTCAAAAAGTGCAGTTTTGGTATAATTAGCCTGAATTTGAGTAAAAATGATGAAATGTGACACATTTTTTGCTGTAAATCAGGTCAACTCGATGCTTTCTGAGGCTGTTTTATGGCTAAAAACAGAGTCTGTTTCCCTGTTTTTAATTAAAATAGGGCAAAACTGCTTCCTTTGTCTGATGAATGTAAAACATAAACATAAATAAGATGAATGCTTCAGATTTGGAGGATAATGAACCGCCTGCTGTTCCGCTGTCCGCCGCCAGGTGGCAGCGTCTCCCCGGCAGGTCTGAGATCAGCGGGTTTCTGCCTTATGGCTGTTTGACTCTCATCTGGGACGTTTTGGGTGCATTTGTGATCATTTTGAGACCAATTACAACTTCATTTTAGGTTTATTTTGCCCCACATTATCAGATCCCTGTTGATTTTATCAGGATAATTTTGCATTTGTGTTGTTTTTGTCTTTTTCAGAAGGAAAAAGTCTCCGTTGTAATTTTTTGGAGTTCTTTTGAGATATTTTGCTTTTTTTTTCGTGTATTTTCTGTTTGAATTTAAGCTTTTTTGTGTTTTCTTGTGGGAGAAAGAGTAAGCTTATTCCTTATTGGTGCCAATTTGTGTGTTTTTGGTTCCTTTTGGGTGTAGATTTTTTTGACATTGTGTTTCCTGGAGTTGTTTTGCCTCATTTTGTGATGGATCATTCTCAGGTGTTTGGGAGTTTTTCGGTCTGGTTGTTGTTATTTCTGAACATTGTGGCGTTTCTCTCTTTCTCTGTTTGGTAGAGATAGTTTTCATAATTTTGTGGTGATTTTCTGAGCCTATGAGGTGTTGTGTATCTATTTTTTGTGGTTGTTTTCCAGCCTGTGAGCAGCCTGTCAGCTCTTTCTGTAACTTTTGGCTCAGACAGTTGAATCTGACTCTGTTTTTAGCTCTTTTCAGCTCTTTGTGGCTGTTTTCCTGAATGATCGGACTCCTTTTACTGGGCAGAGCTCCTCAGACTGGAGCTTTGGTTTTCAGTTGGCTCTCACAGTAAAAAGAACAACTTTCTTTCTGACTAATAACCAGCTTTTAAACAGACCGGCCGTTTAATCTGAGTCCAGATGCAGATTGGCCATCTCAAGTGCATCTCGCCCTCCCTAATCCCATAACCCCCCCCCCCTGCACTCTCCCCCCCCCCCGACCGGATTAGAGGCTCCTGGATCAAAGCTCCCTGTCCTCAGCACACACATAAACACACGCCTTCGCCTGGCCCACATTTCCTCCTCCCGGTTTGTGATAATCAGACAGATGAAAGCAGCAAACCGGGTTCCAGTCTTTGGTCTCATGTGGATCCTTTAGATCTGGGTCTCCTCACAAAAGCAACATTTTAATGGACTTCTTAAACTCTGACGTAAACACACACCAACGTCTGAGCCTCTGACCAAACCAGAGTCCAGAGAACTCAGAGTTCTGCTGCATTTCCTGCAGAACGAGGCTGTGAATAGCCGTATGTGTTCAGAACGAGGGGCTCCAGATGGATTTAGATGGCCTTGAGCCCCCAGACTGACGGGCAGCAGCAGCTGCTCAGGTCCTTCTGCTGGAGGTTAGATTTCACCTCCCGTTTTGTTGGACATCCACAGCTGAGGGTGGAAACCTTCATCCACGTCTTCCATCTGATCTATCGGCCATTTTCTTCTTTTTCCTGACTGTAATCGTCTTCATTTTACCCCCGATCCACCTGAAATTTGCCTCATAGATTCGCTTTGGTTTCAGGAATGGTCCCTTCCAGCAGATTAAAACCGGAACCAGGGAGCAGGTGAGTCTTTTTGAGTGCCATCAAACCCGGCTAATCCCTCCTCCGACAACCACAACAACATATGGCAAGCTGTAAGCTCCAACTCCTCAGGGATTAGGCCTCCCACTGCCTCTGGTTTCTAAATGAATTCAGGACCGGTGCACAGACATGAACCCACCGTTTTCTCCTCCCTTTTCTCCCTTTCCTCTCTCTGCCCTCTTTTTGGAGGTGGACACGTTTGTTTTTTGGACTGAGCAACATCTGGGCAGCTTTCTGAAGCTCTGGCAGAGTTTTTCTGCTTTTTTTCTCTAGTTCAGGTAGAAAAAAGGCTCCTAACTCAAGGGATGAGCCAGCGTCTGCTGGTTAAAGTGGATATTTGGGCTCTTTAGACATAATCTGTTCCATTTCTGTAGCTGATGAGTGAAAAAGGCCAAAGAAAACCCTCTTTCAAAGAGCTGCGGGCTGGAAACTGGGCACATCTTTAAAACATCTGAGGAAACTGGACCAGTGGAGGATAGAAGAAGAAGAGCTGTGGCTAAAAAGGAGTTTTAATGCTTTCACGATAAGTTGAGAAACTGGGAAAAACTGTCCAGCGTCTCCAATTCCTCATATCTTATTCACATTTTGACATATTTTCGTCATCTTTTTAGTGCTTTCACATGAAATTTTCATAATTCCAGCTCACACTTTTTCCTTATTACCTGTAAAAATA